CTTACATGTATCTGAAGATAAAGGACTGGAAGAACCAGTCACACCTTTAGACTTGATTGTTCGGTGAGTAAAGCGCTAGCTCAGTAACCACGGTGTTAGACAAGAAATACTGTGCCTGTACCTCGTGATCACTCGTGAGTAGAGCATACTCTCCCCTTATCATGGGCCCAAAAAGTGATAAATGGGGTTTAACGTTGGTCCACTAAGTGACAACAACCTTAAAACCCCTGTAACAAACTGGAGACCCTACTCCTTGCCATTGAACCCACAACTTCCATAGACAGCAGATCACATTAAAGAACAATATTGGTGCCAGTCATTATCATATATCTGATAGAACGGGTTAAACACATTCCAAATATTATTTTATCACAGAGATCATTGCTACGATAGCTGTGTAATCAATGCTTCAACAATCAGAAGTGACAAACGAAAAAGGAAAACATGAGTTATCCCTCTATATAACTGATTGAAGTGACGGGTGATAACAGGTACATGGGAGAATTTCTGCCCACTAATAATTCCTTCGAAGACCAAAAGTTGTTGTGTGAGACTGTGAAAGGATATCTGACAATTCATAAAAAAAATTGAGTGTCACTAGATAAAAGAACATGAAAGAAAAATAGAAAAAGTCTGTGCATTACCATGTTTTTAGGAGTATAGAATGAATAAACACCCGTGAATGTATGGACTGTTTCTCGTGTTCTCTTATCTAATGACACTCACTTACTTTTTTAAATTGTCAGATATACTCTTACAGTCTCATATAACAACTTTTGGTCTTCAAAGGAATTATTAGTGGGCGGAAATTCGCCCATGTACCTGTTATCACCCGTCACTTCAATCAGTTATATAGAGGGATAACTCTTGTTTTCCTTTTTCCTTTGTCACTTCTGATTGTTGAAGCATTGATTCCACAGCTATCGTAGCAATGATCTCTGTGATAAAATGATATTTGGAATGTGTTTAACCAGTTCTATCACATATGTGATAATGACTGGCACCAATATTGTCCTTTTAACTACTGGGCCCATGCTCTTATTAAATCAGGTGTTATATACCACACTATAGAACTATAGGTTTCTATGCCGCTTGTACGCAGGAACGTATCTTTAACTACTGGGCCCATTCTTTTATTAAATCTGGTGTTTTATAACATGCTATAGAACCATGGGTTTCTAAATCGCGTGGTTTTTATTTTTTTAAACTCAGAAAAAATCAATGTTGATTTGTTGATTGGTCTGCTTGACCCAGACAATCAATGTTTAATAAATTTAACAACATTTCTTCAACTCAATATCATTTCTTGCCTCCGGTTTCAATTGTCTACCAATTTAAAAACATCTCTAATGAAGTTTTTATTCTATTTTCAGGTCTGTATAATATAAGTCTGTCACCTTTCCTTCTCGTATAAAACATCAACACAAGTCTGGTCGAATAAAACAATGTTTTCTGTGTCAAATTACCATTGATCAACAATTGTTTTAACAGCCAATCAATTATAGCGTAACAAAACTGGACGGGATTAACCACAACAATAAATATTTTCCTACCAAAAAAAAAATGAGTGATTGGATTTGTCAAGGTGTTTTTTTAAACACCTGGGTACAAACTGGGTGATTTGATGATATATTTGAACTAAAAACATATTCAAACTAATTAATTATTCATAATTTTGCTTCAAATCCTTCTCAAAACATTGTAATTGCCAGGGAATAGCCGGCTATAAAAAAAAATCGATCAACAGAGGTCATGTTAGTGTCACGTGACACAACGGGTGCGAGGTCAGAGGAGAATTCATTGCATACACAAGATGATGTTGCCTTTATAGCTGACTATTTATTACAAATATCGACGCCAAATTAAATTCTGGATTATCTACTGCCCGCGTTTTTTTCCGTAATTATTATCTCAGAAAGTGTTGTACGTCTAACTCTTCATAAAATTTACCAACATGTACATCAAGCACTCAATCTCCGCGTACAACCTTCGGGTCACGCGTGCAGACATTCCTAATCGTGAGGCTGTCGATATGGGAAACCTGTACATTTTTGTCCCGTATGCACTCCATGAGTGTTTTTCAGGGAATCCATTATTTTTCTAGTAAGATTGGATATTTCTACTTTCCATATATATCAAAATTGCCATACTTTTATTGGAAATAACCACCCGATAAATACTGGGAACCTATCTTTAACGATGCATGATGTAAGAGTTAAATTGGAGGACATTATTTTGGCTTCAAATGTTATATAAATTATTAATTAGATGTTTATTAAACATACATTATGCAAGAGCTAAAACTGTCTATTGCAGGTTTTTCTTTAGGCCTGAAATGTTATCTAAATTATTAATTAGACATTAATTAACTTATCCAGACCATAATCAACTCTAGATGGCATCGCTAGCCTGCGATCTTAAGTGGATTGTGAGCCGATTTACTGCATAACTTTCCTTCTCAATTAAACGATTAAATAGATAATCGAGACTATGTTGTTTATCGTACTGACTTTAGTAATGATGATCGAGGCTAGGCATAAATTTCATTCGCTTAGTTTTCGGTTCATAGTGGATCAATTTGAATGAAATTTTCAGCAAATTGCCTTTACGTTATCTAGTTTTAAAACTATTATAGTGAGAACTGCCAACTCGTTATCGAATCTCCCATAATGTATCTTTAACATGACAAGACCATAATCAATTCTCTAGAACATTGGATGGTCATGATTTTCAATGGATTAAAACATAATCACAATTCAATAATCTAATCTAAATATGGATAATCAAGACTTTATTATCGAAACTTTAACTACATGCACATTTACCCTTAGCCGTGATAAGAGTATCGCAATCGGAACCATTCATGGTCCCATAAAATTTAAGAAATTACTTCATAATACTGTGTCTGACACTCTAATTGTGGAGAGAGAGAGAGATGGGGTTTAACGTCCACTCGACACAATCTAGGTCATTTCGGGACTAACAAATGATTCAATTACATTTCAAAAATCTGCTTGCGCGTAATTCTTCACAGTAAAGTTATTTCAATCATGAGGCAGGACAGGCGACCGACCCTACTCAATAAATGTGGAATTCTTCACAGTAAAGTTATTTCAATCATGAGTAAAATGGTCAAAGGATCAAACATAATGCGCAGAATTCCATATTGAGAACCGTTCTTAGACCAGATAGCGTTCACACACTATTTAATCATGTCATACCAATAACGATGCCAAGATCACCTCCCTTCAGTGATCCAGATTGGTATGGTTCTCAGTACGGCACAGTTATACTTGACCTGTTTACACTACAAATTAACCGTTCCGTTGTCGGCACTGTTCCTGGCACGCTTAAAATTTGTAAACAGGGTAAAAGGTACTTGACAATCAAGACTATATTGCGACACTTCAAAGTCTGATAATGTCACTCAGAAGCTAGAAATTTTACTGACATTTTCATCATCTATTTTGAATTACCAGTATTATAACAAAAACAGCCAGTTCTTTATATAAATCCTTATATATAATTGTCCCGGGACAAATTATCAGGGGACGACTTGTCTGGAGATTAATTGTCCAGTATCCAATTTATCTTTAAGCTGAAATTCGGAAGAACCAACAATGTTTTGTTTATTTGGTTCGGGAGCTGAATAAAACTTTAAAAAGCTCTCCATACTTTACAATAAAAGTCTGAAATCATTCTTGTACAAAAGCTGTGCCCGTATGGACATGGTGTGGGATTTGATAAATTACGAGTCACATGTACATGTACGAAAGATACATTATGTAAGATTTAGATAAAGAGCTGGCCATTCTTACTATAATAGTTCAAATGCAAAATCAATATGATGAAAATTTCAATCAAATTACTTCATTCTGAGCGAAAATTAGCCATCGAAGGTACGACCATTCTAATCTACTTAATATTGGAGACATTAGATGGCAGCGAGAGTTGATTATGGTCTTGTTATGTTAATAAATGTCTAATTAATAAAGTACCATTTAAGGCCTAAAGACCTGCAATAGTCAGATTTAGTTTAAGTTAAAGTACAAGATATGTACATGTACATTGTACATGTATAAGGTGCCCCCCAAAAAGCTATTCTGGGTTGCGATACAAGTGCTTGAGTGTGCTTGAGCAATAACCTGCTGCCATTGTAAGAGTGGATACTGTTCACTATATAAACATGACTTTTACTAATTAAAGTATCTGTCACAAACAGAACTAAATCATCATTTAATATAATGTTTACTAGAAGTCTGTAATCAACTAGTAGTCAAGTAGTAGTTATACATGTATACATGGAATTCAAGATGCTAATAATTGATATACATTACCATTGGTTGGGTTTGTGTATTACATTGTCTAATTTTCAAGGCTTAAACCATGCTACAAATTGATCAGCATGAATTAAACCGTAAAAAATTATATATTTTTTTGCAAATCGCCTTAAAATCAGTTGTCAGTTTATGTTTTTGAGTCTGCACTGTCTGCATTTGTTATTTTTATATTGGTACTGCCTGTATTTGTTATGTTTTTATATTGGTACTGCCTGTATTTGTTATGTTTTATATTGGTACTGCCTGCATTTGTTATGTTTATATCGGTACTGTCTACATTTGTTATGTTTTTATATTGGTACTGCCTGAATTTGTTATGTTTTTATATTGGTACTGTCTGTATTTGTTGTTTTTATATTGGTACTGCCTGCATTTATTGTTTTTATATTGGTACTGAATGCATTGGTTATGTTTTTATATTGGTACTGCCTGCATTTGTTATGTTTTTATATTGGTACTGTCTACATTTGTTATGTTTTTATATTGGTACTGCCTGCATTTGTTATGTTTAATATATTGGTACCGTCTGTATTTCTTATGTTTTTAAGTTATGTATTTTGTCTGCATTTTTAGAGCTCAGTTGGTACATGTAATGTCTGCATTTGCACATTTTTCTATCCATTAAATTCAATTCTCGGTGAGAATAAAGATACAACTTACCGAATCCCCTAATGAGGGTATAATAGTAGGAGGTGTACTGGATGATGGGGTACCAGTTTCTTTAGGGGAGAGCTGTGGCATAGCTGATATAACTATGGGTTGTACTGGCTGACTTGGATGTTGCTGTGTCTGTGGTGGTCGTGGCTGTATTGGAAGGGGCACCTGCTGTTGAGGTGCTGGTTGATTGGTCGGTTGTGGATGAGGCATCCGTACCTGATGTTGTGGAGTACGAGATAAAACTTGTGGAGGGATGTGATGACTAGATTGACCAGGAGCAATGTTTGGTCGCGGTTGACACTGTTGCTGCTGCATGTGAAGAATCTGTTGTTGCTGCTGGGCTTTCAGCATCCTCATTCGTTCCTGAAGGTCCAGCATCTGTTGCTGTATCTGTTGAGTCTGTGGCATGTTGTACAACTGCTGTATCTGTTGTTGTAGTCTCTGGACTTCCAGATTCACGCCCTGTTGGTTCGGTAAACCTGGCATCATCTGTTGACTAGGGCTTGGACTTATAGGACCATTCTTTCCTGCCATCACCATCTGTCCAGCAGGGCTCACTACCTGCCGTGGTCCTCCGTTCACAGGACCTGTTGAGGAAACGATGTTTGTTTGAAAATTAGATGAACTATAAATTGGTTGCTTTGGTGCAATGTTCAAATTGGATGCAGGAGTGCTTTGCATTACTGTCTGAAATGGATTTGCCGCAGAAATGCTTCCTATGGAAGGCGAAACCAGTTGCTCAAGTTGTTGAAGACTAGATTGTCCATAATTTCCCTGAGAAACACCTGGTAATAGTGATGGTGTTGTTGAACCTGATGAGGAGTGTGGTGACGGTGCTTGTGGGCACGGTTGACCTATCGATTGCCCCATACTTGAATACGGGGACTGGAACGGTAGATTGGTGTTGTTAGGACTTCGGTTAGTAGTGTAGAGAGAAAGTGCATTGGCATCACCCATTCCCGGTGCCACTACAGACACCGGGACATGCTGGCTGCCAGAATACGTGGAATAGTGATGGTTAGGTTGGGGGTTGGTCCCAGAGGTTAGTTGTGGTCCGTCAGTTAAGTACTCACCAGGGAAACGTTGTGAGACGCCATGTTGCTGTTGTATCACCTGCTGTTGGTTGTAACTAGGCATCAGATTAGCATTAGCTTGTGACGAGGCTGCCTGAGATGGTTGTTGTGGAAACGATTGAGCGGGTTTCATGGGGTGTTGTTGCTGTTGTTGTTGTTGCATCTGAGCCATCATATTCATATTGTTAGGACTCATAGACGATGCCATAGGCATCCTCGTGCCAGAGGGAGGAGATCTCATGCCTTGGATAAAATGGGATTGTCCATGTGGGGTAGCAGTGGGGTAATGTCCCATCTGCTGAGGATTTGAAGGCATGTTATAGTCACGTTGTTGGGAAGGAAAAGAGGGCATGTGATTGTTGCCACTGGCGACCATCATTTGCTGTCTCGGCTGTTGTGTCATATATTGTTGTTGTTGTTGTTGTTGATTTGGACTGGTCTGCTGGCTTGCACCCCACTGCTGATTATGAACCATTCCCATCTGTTGCGATGCCATCCGTGGCCGTGGTGACATGTAACCATGATAACCAGCTTGTTGTCCTGACATCATTCCACTCTGTGGCGGACTGCCAAATGTCTGTTGTTGTTGTTGTTGCTGCTGCTGCTGTGGTCGCATGTTCTGCGTCATCATGTTTTGGTTTTGGTTCGACATCATCATAGAGCTGGAATCAGTGATATGATGTAGCTTGGGTACCTGTCCGTATTGACTGAAGGCATCTTGTTGCCCACGATACTGTTGACGGTTCATCATGGAGGACTGCGGTGGCATGCCCCGATAATTTTCCTGAGGTAAGCTGTGAAGTTGGGGATAGCCTTGTACTGAAGTGTTTTGCGACTGTTGAGGCATCATCATATTATCCGATTGAGTAGGCATCTGTCTCTGCATTGCTCCCATTCCCTGAGACATAATTCCATTCTCTGATCCTGGAAGAACTCCCCCTAGTTCTGGTTGTCCTAACCCCCCATCCCCAGGACTCGTCAAGTCACTTAAAAATCCTCCATCTGCATCAAATAAACTTAGCATTGGCTCGTCCGCCATATTGCTTCAAAATGCAGAGACGTTTCAATAAGCAGTTACGTCAAATTGTTTCCATACTGATGTAGTAAATGGTTAGACCTAGTAGATATTTCCACTAGCATCTGAAATTAGACAATAAAAAAATATTAAAATCAAAATACAATGAGCACCAATCCTTCACATATTAATATTTCATATTTTGATCAAAGCTGATTAGTTTTAAATGACATAAAATATCGTAGTGGAATAAATAATCAGTTTAGAAAACAGATATTAATAAACGAATGAATGAAATGGGGTTGAATGTCTTATAGATCTGAAAAAAACACAGGATATGGTGTATTATTAACACTGAGTGACGTTTTTACAAGAACGTTTATTTTTAATGGTTACGTCAGTGTGCAGTTTATTAGATAGACATGTAGCAACGTATTAAATTTCCTTGTCTGCCTACAATTAGCTCCGCTTGAGGACAGACATTAAGCTAGTTGATCGACTTTTTTAAGTTCTAAATCAACGATTTTAGTCGAAAAGACTAAGTATATTTCCAGAATTTTGAGAAGTATATCATATTCAGCTTTCATTTAATACAAAAGAAAAGGTATAATTAGTCTTTTTGTGTATCAGATGTAAACTGGAGGACGGCATTACAGAGAGAGAGAGAGAAATGGGGTTTAACGTCTACTCGACACAAACTAGGTCATTTCGGGACTAACACATGTTTTAATTTTGTTTCAATAATTCGCTTGCGCGTTGGGGTCTTTCTTTTGCAGTGGGAGGAAACCGGGGGTCCCGGAGAAAACCCACGAGGTTGAACAGGTGACCCTACTCCGTGTCACGTACAACCGGGGATTCGAAACCCCGCCAGTTGACTCAATGACAGAGCGTAAGATACAGCGCGCACATGCTATCCATTCAGCCATTTTTTTTTTTATACTTTCGATGACCTACACTACATGAAGATCTGACAAGTTATAGCGATAGGTCACGTCAGGGGTCAAAAGACCGACTTATGACCCTATGATGTCAGACATTTGATTAACCAATCAGCATTGATGTTACTAGTGGATTACCCACTGTTCCGTGCAAAACACGCCTAAAGCTCGCCATAACAGACCGTTTCATTAGCTTATCCCTGACACCATTCAGAACGCGAGTTAAATAACAACTCTTCCAGATCCAAGTGTAGTAAAGACAAGTAAAACGAAATTTTGAACTATAAAAACGAAACGAAATAGGATCTGTGTTTTAACCAGATTGACTGGACAGCATAACAAAACAGTATATATACTGTTGGTTGGATTAAGGTAGAGATCACTCCTCGAAGTAATTCTCTGTGTGCAGGATAAGGTAGCAGTCCATGTCTCCTTTTAATCAAATCAAACTCAAACTGCCAAAAGATCTTCAATGTATACTGCCCAAACATTGTAGGTAGACACGACTGCTATTTAATAATACAATGAAGCCATTCGGGGTCATTAACAACATTTTACTGAAAATATCAAAGTTTCCACAGCAGATTATTTTATCATATTAACTCATTACCAAGAGACCCATCACAACTTAAAGATGGTGACATGTACATGCAACATCCGAATGATTAAATAAATTTTTGTTATTGAAAGTTTCTGAACGCATTAGAGGTTAATTCCATGCAAACTACAATATTGTTGAGCTGAATCTCTGAAAAGAATATCAGATAAAAAAAATAATTCAGTTCAATTCATTAACAAAAAGTGAGAGTTTAACCTCATATCGACACAAACTAGGTCATTTCGGGACTAAATGGTTCAATTTTATTTCAATACATTGTATTTCGCTTGTGTGTAGTGTTTTTTTATCAGTGGGGGGGAAACCGGAGGACAAGGAGAAACCCACAAGGTTGGACAGACGACCTTACTCACTCGACTCAATGACAGACCTTACGATTTAATCCATTCGGCCACCCTACCTTCCTCATTTACAAAGATAATGATCAATTGAAAAATTTTGCAAAATTCGGTATGCCCTTAAATAACGTTTTAATAGTAGAGACTTTTAAGTGAAACGAAATTGGACAGTCAGTCACCGACATTAACTGGTGGTGGTGGCATATAATTCAGAGACTTTTTAGATTATTAAATGAGCTGACTCGGCGTAAAATGATGAGCTGAATTGGATATTAAATGTAGAAATAATAATTACTTGTTGAAACAACGACACGGGTGGCAGTTGGAGTGACAACACTGATGTCGTCATAAAAGAAATATTACATGTCCTGTGACTGTCATGAATGACAATATGTAGACAGATAAATGTTGCAATCTTTTATCCCATTCTAAAAACAACCGTGACTAATTAGAATAATAACTTATCTCGTCTTAGTTGGCAAGGCAGGGCAAGGCCATCTTAAAGCCTCTAATGATTGACAGTTCAGGTAAATGAAATGAGGTTGAACTTCCTACTGTTCTGCTCCGAAATGGGCTAATGAAGACGGGCATACGCCATACAGTGTGCTATGAGGAAAATTTTGCCAGGACAGCTGCGCTACAGCCTACTCTTAGATCGAATTCCCACTGCCAAGGGATCTTTTATGTGCACTCCAATGTGTTCACGGGACCACAGTTTTATGGCCCACTCAAACAACTATATGTTGTCCCTTGCCAACTCTGTTGAGAGAGAGAAATGGGGTTAATGTCCACTCGACACAAACTAGGTAATTTCTGGACTATCTATAAAATATGGTTCAATTTTATTTTAATAATTTATTAACATGAAAAGACCTTAATCAACTCTCGATGCCATCTTAGGTGTCAGATTTTCACTGGATTTGAATCTGATTTGCTGCTCAACGCGACTTTAGTAACGATGCTCGAGGCTAGGCCTAAAATTTAAACGCTAATATCTCAGTTCAGAGTGGAGCAATTTGCGTGAAAATTTTAGCATATTCCCTTTACATTATCTTTTTTTAAACTATTATAGTGAGAACTGTCAGTTCTTTATCTAATCTTCCATAATGTATCTTTAATTAAACATTAAATAACCAGTATATTTTAGCATGGATTAAATCATCAGAAATCTATCAGCAGCTTCCATTTCATCCTCTTACGAGCAGATCTATTTTCTTAATCAAGATCTTAAAAAAATTATGTAACATTTTTACCTAATCTACTTTGTTCAAAACAGACAAAAATTTAGTTTTTGATTATCTGATGGCATTTTTGACCAATCTAGGACATTTTTGACTTAAAGTTACGGCCATTTTGGCCAAATGTGTGAGAAGGCGTTTCTTCATCGACCTAGATAATATTGAAAAGTCATTTGACTGAAATTTTCAATCTGACTTTACATTACCGGGTATTTATTTTTGAAGTTTGAACTGCATGTATTATAGCAAGAAAGGCTGACACTTTATCGAAATCTTACATGCTGTAACGCTACTTTAAATGGTCAATTTGTGTAGATGATCACCAACCTTAATGAATAATATATTAACCTTTGGGAAATCGAAAAGGGTCTCTGTAATTTATACGAGCTTAAAGTGGAGATCTAAACAGTCTTAAAGCGCTTGTACATGTATGGCTCTATTTTTTGGAACTTTGAAATAGACAGCAAAGGTTCCAAAAGCACATATTAATAAAATGTAATATGAATGAAAAATGTATGTAATGATTTACATTCATTTTTTTAAAAAATATTGTAATTTCTAATCGATTATGTTCAGTAGAAAAGGCCTAAATGACCAGTTCAAATTGAATGTCACGGCAATTGTTTACGCCTGCTTAGACCATTCTACACATTTTTTTAATTATTATTTTGTCGTTTGTGGATCAGCCTTTAAATACTAATAGCCTAATAGTGGAACGAGTGGATTCCCAGTTCTTGGGAATTAAATGTGGAATGAATGTTTGTTATATATTCTGAACCAGTATGGTGTGTAGTATTCCAGAAAGATTCCCCCCCGTCAATCTGTTTTGGGGAAAAAAATTTGTGGCCGGTTGAAATTTTGGCCTTCGGTGATCACATAAAAAGAGGGATAATTTCGGTATGAATAGATTTTCGACATTTTCTGACGAATTATCATGGTAAAATCTCGCACACAATTCACAAAACGATCAGAGAATAATATTTGGTGATAATAAAATCAGAAATCATATGACGTCATCATTGAAATCCAAGATGGCGGCCAAAATCTCATAAGTTATCAATTTCAAGTTAAATATATCTTGTAATATATCTATCCACAGGTTTATATATCATCTGAGTACGATTAACATAGTAAAAACTCATTTAACACGGTATTAAATCCGGGAAAATAATATTCGTGACTCACCGATTATATAACAAACATTCATTCCGCATTTAATTCCCAAGAAAAATATACCTCTACTAGCCTATAAATATATTTGTAAGATATGTTTTTATTTGTTCACTACAAAATAGAACCCGAAACCATAGAATATACATATACATACATATGTACAACTGGTGTACTGATTATAAAATCTTAATTGTGTCTTAAATATTGGATATTAGAATCCTATAGTTTCACGGTAATATATTATATAACAACATCAATATTGATTGAAATTGATCAATATTGAATTCTAATTCATGTTTTTAACTTTGACTAAAGGCACAACAACCTCAAAGAGGTTAAAATCTCTAAGGAGAGGGAGGTAAGCAGGGATGTTTTCAAGAAATGAAGAATAAAGTAACAAGATACAGGTCGCACGACAGTTCATGTAATCCAATCTACAGACCCACATGTGACATGTGTAGGCCTACAGTAACTTAAAGGAGCTAAGTCGCTAATATTTGGGACCTAGAAATTGACACAAATGGGTCGCAACGCATAAAATAATGTAATATGAATGTATATAAACTGATTTACATTCAATCGTGTCCCTTTTTACTCTAACATCAAATCAGTTATGTTCGGCCAAATACGCCGAAGTCCCAATCGAATGGCAACCTCTAGCGCCTGGTTATTCCAGTCTACACTGATAGTATCTATTGTGCATACTCCCCAGATAAGAATGCCGTCATCGTTTGACATGACTTGTGGATTTTGTCTAGCCTTGTTCTTCAAGTCCCTTGTTACAAATGACACTGAAACACATTATGGTACACGATTTGTGTACCCATGGTACAATGTTTATTTTGCCTTAAATATTGGATATCAGATGTCCATCTTTTCCCGGTAAGATCACAACATCAATGTTGATTTAAAGTGACAAATAATTTGTGTTTTCAATGTCGAAGACTTTGGACGATATTGAGTTAGAGACTTAGCTACTTTAAAATGAGCTATGTCTCTAACTCAATATTTTCCATAATAAACGTAATTAAAAACACGAATTAGAATTCAATATTGATCAATTTCAATCAATATTGATGTTGTTATCTTGTCGTGAAACTATAGGATTCCAATATCCAATATTTAAGACAATTAACATTTTATAATCAGTACACGAGTCGTTTACCCTATGGTTACATTTGCCATTTTGTAATGAACGAATAAAAACATATCCTACAACACAATGGTGACAATGTGGAAGTAATAAGTAAAGGCTGATTCACAAACGTAAACGACTGCCATTTAATTTGAACTGTTCAAGTATTTCACCGAATATAATTGATTAGAAAACGAAATAAATCACTTTACATACATTCATATGTGCTTTTAGTTTTAGAAACATTTTTTGTCTATTTCAAGATAACAAACAATATAAGATTTGGAGTCTAAGAGTTGTATGCCTTTTAAAACAATAAGATCAAAGATATATCTTCTAATTTCTGAGAAAGACCACATAAAAGAAACCACAAATATTTACATCCTTTCGGAGATTATTATTATTATTTTAAGACTACAATAGGCTATAGTAATCATACCTCCCTGAAGTCAGAGTTTAATAAACAAACCAAGGTCCCATATTATCAGTTAAAATTAATGTAAAATTGAGAGCCAACCACATAAACCTAGCAGGAACTAGAATGCAAAATGTTTAGTTTTCCCAAATTAGATCTAATTAAATCATCCAACACTATACCAATGAACTTAGTGGAGTTAAAAATAGATGAACTACTTAACATCAGTCGAGGAAATAAACCTCCATTTTCTTTTTAAATTGTCAAAAAAAACAACTTTGGCAGGACTAAATTTGTAGCTTGTCTCTCACTTTCATACACTAATTTCGACATTTATGAAACAAAATATATTTTATTAGCGCGCCGAATGCAGACAAAGAATTAGACATTAGTTAGGCTATCCATGCCGTTAGGCGGCGAACAAAAGCACTCAAGTATGTCAATGAATTACCGTACCTTCACCGATACACAAGTCAACGAGACGAACCGTTTCCCAGCCGATGACCGATTGGGGTTATTTTGGTCTATACACTATTTACTTCAGCACGTGCACGACACGAGCATCAAAACAAACCCTTATCTCCCCTTTCCAGCAATGTTATATACCAATAACCACATTGGTCAAAATAACATAGTTCACAAATACAATTAGTTGATACTGAACAATAGAAAAGTTGGCTTTGATCGCCATTTCGTGCGTTCTTTTTGAGAAGAAATTATTTCGATAGAATGCTTCACTAAAGTAGGGCAAGATAGGGTTGCTAGCTTCACCAACCCCCTACACAAAGGCTTAAAAGGTTATAGAAATGAAATTTAACATATCTAATAGACCAATGAATCGACTCTTACCTGGTTTTTCGTCAAAATTTACAACTAATTTTCAATAGATGATTTTGTAGACTTTAGGCCGCTAAACCTCAACATCTTGCATCGTGTGAACTCTTGTTTGATTTACATAAACTCTAATTTGATTGGCTGTTTTGCCTGGCGTCAAAAGTCGCTTGTTGTGCCTCTGAACCAATATATTTTGAATATCATGCTAATATATAAGTGAAGTAGGGTCTAAAAATCAATAATATGCAATTCTGAAACAGAATTTTGCCCTCATAATTTTGTAATTACGTGATAATTGCTATATTTGTGTATTCTATATGGCCTCTTTTAGCCAATCAGCAGGGGTTTACTAAAGGCTGATGGTCAGTGGATGTATCTGCGCTATCTAGATATCGACCAATGAAAGGAGAGTATTGTACCAAGTGCCCGGATGATGTTACAAAATTTGTTTGTCGCCAGCGTCATCTGCTGAATGTAAAATAAATATTTCTTTGTTGTGACTGACTATTTTGTACAGCGCGTTTAAACTTGTTGAACACAAATTAAAATAAAAAATTGCCACGACTGTGTCAATGAATATGTATATTTAAATAAAATGGCGCTTTTTGGTAGGGTTGACATTATTTTTCTTTGTTATAAGTTGACACCGTAATGTAGCCTATGATGTTGACAATCGAGTAGTGCGGTGAAAGTGACCTGAACGGTTCAATAAACAGATCGATACTCCATCGTAAAATTATAAACTTGGGAACAAAATAGTTTGGCGTACAATTTTCTTCTTTTTTTTTTATTCAAGGCTAAGACTCTTTTCTTGGTATGCCTCCTTGATGTAGGCCTAATTGTCGATTTCACCCCTTTCGCCTTTTCACAAAACCCGTGAAAGCGTTTTTAAACACCTTTCCCGGCCTTGGTCCTTACTGATGTTAAACTTTTTTGTAATATTCCAGCCAAATTTATTTGTCGATTATTGATGTAGGCCTATTTCAATATTTGTCGATTTCACCCCTTTCGCCTTTTCACAAAACCCGTGAAAGCTTTTTTTATTATTTAAACACCTCCCCGGCCTTGGTCTTTACTGGTGTTAAACTATTTTGTAATATTCCAGCCAAATTTATTTGTCGATTATTGATGTAGGCCTATTTCAATATTTGTCGATTTCACCCCTTTCGCCTTTTCACAAAACCCGTGAAAGCTTTTTTTATTATTTAAACACCCCCCCCCCCCCGGCCTTGGTCTTTACTGGTGTTAAACTATTTTGTAATATTCCAGCCAAATTTATTTGTCGATTATTGATGTAGGCCTATTTCAATATTTGTCGATTTCACCCCTTTCGCCTTTTCACAAAACCCGTGAAAGCGTTTTTTAAACACCTTCCCGGCCTTGGTCTTTATTGATGTTAAACTTTTTTGTAATATACCAGCCAAATTTATTTGTCGATTATTTGAATATTTGTCGATTATTTCCCCTTTCTCACACCTCGGGAGTTTACTTCTGTTATAGTTTTTTTTTTAATTTTTGAAAAGATCAACTCTAACTTAGCTATTGACAAGTCAAATAAAGTTTTTATTGATTTTATATCGCATTGAGTTGCCAATGGTGATTTTTCTGTGTCTTAGATAAATTCAACAATAATAAGTCCATCCTCCTCCAAGTTATTTTATATTAGAATAGTACCGGTCGGTATATCGTATAATAGTAAGTGCGGGAGGAGCGCACTACACGCAAAACAAAAATTTACAAGATAAACCTGCGGACAAGACAGAAAATTATAGACATTGCAGTATTTGCACCAAATAAACAAATATCAAATCAAGTGAATGGATCCGATCCTCCGCCAAGTTATTTTATATTAGAAAGTACCGGTCTAATACATATATGTTAACGATCCCGCTTGTTGTGCCTTTAAAGTTATTGTGTCAAAAGAAATGACAAGAAATGAAATTGAATGGAGTTTAGCGTTTTATTTTTCTACACCAACCGGGATAATGAAGATGGACTTACACCATGCACTGTGATGGACACAGGCGTACGGGCTCGATGACAGTTAGGGACGCAAAACCCGAAATGCCCGAAAAAAATTCGGGTTACACACGGCGGCGCCGGTCTTCGGTGAGAGCCGAGGAGCGGAGCTTACTGTGTAGGGACCCCTCAAGAATATTTTGGAACAGCGGTTTCCTGCTATTTCAGCCTGTGAATACAGCAACTTCAACTCCAATATAGCCTACCTTTGGTGGCTGACCTGAATCCCAACAACCAATCAATTGTCACGTGGTATGGAGGCCTCACTCTCCAAGAGAAAATTTTAAAAAATTTAAAGATACATTATGGGAGATAAGATAAAGAGGTGGCAGTTCTCGCTATAATAGTTAAAAACTAGATGGTGTAAAGGTAATTTGCTAAAAATTTCAGTCAAATTGATCCACTATGAGCCGAGAAAGAAGCCGATGAAATTTTTGCATAGTCTCGGTTATCATTACTAAAATCATTAATATAAACAGCATAGTCTCGATTATCCACTTTTTCTGATTTAATTATCTTTGGCCGTTAGCGGCATATAGGAATCTAATCCAGCCTACATCGAAGGCTAGCCTTGACATCGAGAGTTTATTATGGTCTGGACAAGTTAATTAATGTCTAATTGATAATTTAGAAAATATTTCAGGCCTAAAGAAAGACTCGTAATAAGCAGATTTTGCTCTTGCATAATGCATGTTTAACTACCGCAAATGCATTTTTCTGCCATTCTAACTCATGAGTTAAGCAACTCTAAAGTTGTCCAATGATTTTGTGACCGAAGTCCCACTCTATGCCGACCTGAATTCCAACCATCCAATCAGACTGTTGCAGCTGCATCCACAAATAATAATCGATGCCCGAAAAATGTCGCACAAAGTAGAGTGGCTCCAGACAAAATGTTTTAATCCGTAGTCAATTCACTACAAATTCGTGGTATTCAATTAAAAAAAAAAGGTAAAATGTGTTTTATTAGATTTCGGGCACTTTATTTTGCCAACTAGATTCAATAACAATTTTTTTTCACTTTACCCGTCTTCCCGAAGAGTCAGACTGCTCAAAAGTTAGGCCAAAATCTGACCCCGAAATCTTGTGGGTGAAGGCGACAGGCATTCTGCACATAGAGATTCATGTACTTCATACTTCGAGAATAGATCTCTATGCTAAATAGCCGCCATATCCAAAAATTAGTATATTGTTTTGTAATGCGGTTCTACTCCGTTTCACATCTGTCATACACTCAAAGACTAACTAAACTTTTTTCAATTTTGTTAAATGGAAGCAGAATAAATACTTAACAAAATTCTTGATGTATATTTAGTGTTTTCGACTAAAAATCGTCGATTAAGGACTTAAAATGTCGGTCAAATAGATTAGTGTCTGTTCTCAAGAGGAGCTAACTGTAGAGATATAAATTTAGTATGGACGATGGACGACAGGGCCACCGCTTTCTGGTTCTCAGAAACTTAGTGTCTGGTTTTAAAAAGGTTGATTTGTTAAATTATTTTATAAGGGAGCTGGTGAAAGTTTTGGGTGTTGTGGGATTGGGGCCGGTAGAGTGGGCGTCAACAATTTGATCAGTATGGACGGGTACAGAGAGAGCGGGTGCGGGGGCGGGGTGGAATCTTAACGGCCACGTGGAACAAACTAGGTCATTTCGGAACTACTATACAGAAGTCAATAGGGGTGAAATAAAATTCGAAACGTATTACTTACCAATGACACGATACGTATCCTCGAGAAACCAGGACTATTTAAAACGTACTTACACGTATTCAATAGTTCTAGGTTTGGGAATATGCTGATTACACTACGTTTTTGCAAACAACACACCACTTTCTACAGATATATCAATGGGCGGGAAATCCTAAATCACATCAAATGTTTGTATAATTTGGAAAAACGGTAAAAATGTCTCCGATACGTATCACGTCTTTAGGGAATAACTTCTACAGCAGAAGACAGACAAGCGCCCTGTATATATAGTGTGGTTTGAGGGAAATTTTCCAACGTGTGCATGGTACCTTGGATTTTTCTTACTATCCGTACTATTAGTCGTTATTTCTTGCCATGCACGTCGCCCTGCATCACTGTCAAGGGGAAACCACGCTGGAAAATCCCCAACTATTTTCTCGGATCGAACTCGTAGCTTCCTAGTTAACGAGCCAGAGCTTCTCACACTGACCCACCGTGACTCCAACAAGTTATAATTAGCTGTAAACTTGAAGTATATTTCAAACAGATGAGAGAGAGAGAGAGATGGGTTTAACGTCCACTAGACACAAACTAGGTCATTTCGGGACTAACATATGGTTTAATTTTATTTCAATAATTCGCTTGCGCCTAGTGGCCTTTAGCAGTGGGAGGAAACCGGAGGACCCGGAGAAAACCCACGAGGTTGGACAGGCGACCCTACTCCTTGTAACGTACAACCGGGGAATCGAAACCACGCCAGTTGACTCAATGACAGACCTTATCATACAAGGCGCACGCGCTAACCATTCGGCCATCCACCCCTCTTGAAACATATGATAATTTTAGTACTGTAAAATAATTTATAATACTAATATTGATTGAAATGTGACACTCATCTATATTTCAATCTGGTATATTGTCATGGCAACGTAATATATCTATATATATTATACGTCATACATGTGATTTATTAATTATATATTCATTTTTTTATCAATATTTTTTACATCCAATTCAACATAGTCTCCAGCCATAAAAAAAACTAGAGAGATATTGACGCGTTGGATCTCTTCATCAATAATTGATATCTATAAAGAAGTGTTCTTTTTTATATTTTTTATCTGTCTTGAATTATTTTAACAGATCAATGGCGAATGTTTTTAATTCGTTGAGACAAACCTGTTAATCAATATCAGACTCTAAAAGATGTAAAGGTGTGTGTGTGAGAGAGAGAGAGAGAGAGAGGGGGGGGGGGGGGTACTATACTATATTGTGTAACATATCGCCCTTAAATGAACCCCACAATAATGAGGTTGTAACTTATACGTTATAAATCCACAAAAGTATATAGAGAAATGTAGTTTAACATCCATTTGACACAAACTAGGTCACTTCGGGACTAACAACAT